CTGCACCCTTCTCCTTACCCCACCCATACCCTAACTTGTATCACTTAAGACAGAGAAGGAGTATTGTATTCCTGCACAGCCTCAGTTTTGAATCCAGGGCCACTTAATGCCCAGTTATATTCTTCATTAGAATATCTCTACTGCAAAGTTTTTAGAGTCTTTGCTGGTTAGTAGTTTGTTTAAAGTTATGGGCTCTGTTTTATATACATATTCTGATTTAAATATCTCACTGCTTCTGTATCAGCATTGATATCCAATAAGTACGTGACCAGAGGTAATTTAAAATAGTCCCACCTCCAATCTATAAAGGTATTTATTTGTATCAGTGTACAAGAATGAATTGCAATTACTTTTTTGAACTTTAAGCCCTAAATTACTTTTTGAAAGGAGTTAAAGTACAAGGATGGTTTTCTTTCTCTCCTGAAAGTGTAAAGAATGCATAAACTTTCCCCTCAGTTAATATAAGAAAGAGGCATACCCTGTCAAGTGAAATTCCTAACGTTTTCCAAAAAGTTCACTGTGTGAAAATAAAGCATGCATTTTCACCACTTGAATAAAAACAAGACATTATATTAAGGTAGTTCCAGTCTCAATTTATGGCTTTTGCAACCACAAAAGTTGTACATTAAGTATGTTTTATTTACATATCGAGTTAAAATGTTACATATTTTAACTTGTTCTTTGTAACTAGTTATTATGTATTTTTAATAATTAAAAGTGCTCACTTTTTAAAGCTACTTTAAAAACAATATTTATATTTTGAATAAAGCACTAAATGTTGTGCCTAAATTTGTTTACATTTGGCCAATTGCCTAAAAACACACGTGCATTATTATCTGGTTGAAATTTGCGTATTTCTCAATTGATTTGCACAGGACGCTTCCTTACTGCATTCAGAAATCTATTATAAATGAGACCTCTGTGCAGAGGATGAATGCAGCAGTGACAGTTCAGCAGGATAATGGTGCTAGTCAGAAGCAGCATCTATTGCGACTCATCTAGCAACTTATGTGGTGGTTTTACTGGAATGGTCTACACATAGAATAATCTGAAACTGCATTTTCAACTTCTAATTTAAGAGAACTTAAAATAGAAACCAGTGACATGAAATGGAGCAAATATTTCAGTTCATAAATACAGGATACAGATCTAACCAAGGATAATTTGTCAGTCTAGGAAATACAGTTAACAAATGGGACAAAATGGTATCAACAGAACTGGAGCATAGGTGTTTTTCTGAAAAAAAAACAGTTGCAGTAATTTTAAGAGGGGGAATCATCTCTGGCCCTAAAGTCCCTCCTTCTCCCCTGGAACAAGTCTACTACTTATACTAGATCTAGTTTATCATAATCTGTAAATGAGTAAAGTTTCTACTCTGGTTGTGGGTACTGTGTAGCACAGGGTCAGCAACATTTTTGGGAAGAGTGCCAAAAACACCCACAACCTTGACTTGTAAGATGTTGGTGTGCCAAGGGCTGATGGCAGGGGAGCTGCAAGGAGCCCAATCCTTGTTGCTTCAGGGCAGCCCTGGCCCTTTCCCTGCTGTCCACCCCAAGGCGTGCAGGCCAAGCAAAATGCTTTCACATGCCATGCACTGTTACTCACTCTGGGGGTTGCCTACCCCTTGTCTAGCATATTCTGATAATATGTTAAAATTTATGGCTGACATGACTAATTTGCCTTTCTGTGCATGAGTGTTCATGTTTCAGACTGTTACTGTATCTTATCCACTAGACAAATAGAATCTGTAACAGGATTCATGGGCGACTGGTGCCTCCTGAGTCTCGGGGGGGGGGGAGACACTTGCAGACATCGGTGTCGGGGACGGAGCTCGCAAGCACCTGCAGACACCGGCAGCATTGTCAGTGGTGGGGATGAAACTTGCGAGCACCTGCAGACGCTGGCAGTGGTGTTGGTGCTGGGGATGGAGCTCATGAGCAGACGCTGGTGGTGCTGGGGACAGAGCTCGCGAACACCCACAGGTGGTGGTGGCAGGGACAGCTGGGGCGGGGTGGGCATGGCACGGAGCCACGGCTTGTCCAGGGGGCGCAGGGAAGTGGGGGACAGCTTTCCCCACTGTGCTCCGCTTGGCCGGGAGCCCCGGTCTGATGCTTGCCTGCTCGTCCGGTGGCTGCCGCCGCTGCTGCTCCTGCCGCTCATCTGGGAGGGCAGGGGGAGGCATGTGCCCCTGGATCTGCGCAGTGTGGGTTGGGGCCGGGGCTGTGCCAAGCTCTTCTGTCAGGGTGGTGCTGCACTGGGAAGGAGTTATGGGGAGGGCCAGGGTGAGCCACAAATCTGCTGTATCAACAGTTGTGAAGCTTGTCAATGCAAAAAAAAAAAAAAGTTGAATTTTAGATCACTAGACCTTTCTTAAAATGTCACCAACACTGTATGAATTCTAAAATGACAGCATTCACTAGCAACCCCTGACCATTGGAAACAAGGTCTAACTGGATTGGCATTGTCTTTTAGAAGCTAGTAGGTCATAAGGTAACTGCTTGCAAGCTCAGGCTTGATTGAAATTCTGCTGAGTAAAATTAAGATGGGGAAAACGGATCTAATGGTGAAACTTTGCCTTTGATTTTCAAGGTTTTTTACTTGCCCAGATGCGTTTGTGGTGGCTTAAGAAGGTTCAAATAGTTGTAACAGGGTGGGTGGGGTGTGGAAAGGGTGAAGGGTGGGGAACTGAGGAAAGGTTAATTTTTTGCTTTGGAAAGTGGTTATGATGTGAACCTCTCCATTTTATGTTTTTGGTCAGTCCTAGGTTGGATTACTCTAACATTTCTCTCCATGGGCTATGCCTCAAAATAGCTAGAAAGTCTTAATGCAGAGTGCAGTTGTTTTCTTAATAGTATTTTGCCTATAGACCCCATATACTAACTAGAGAATATAGTGCTTTCCAATTATTTTTGTAATGTGCTACAATACTATACACTACTTACAGGTCAAAACAAATCACTTCGTGGTGTGGGTAATTTAGGGATTACTTCTGTCTTCATGCTTTAGCTTGAAGTTGAGATTGTTTGGAGTGCTCAGGACAAGTGTCACTAAATTGTGGTGTTATTGCTCAGGAGATATGGTCTAAATCAGGGTTGTTAAAGATATGGTCTGTGGAGCACCAGCATCCAGCCCCTTGGTGCTGTCTATGGGTCTAGGACTGGACCTACATGCTGTAGCATATGCTGGACTGACCCAATCCACCCCAGTGACTGTCCCAGTACCATTCTTTTGTAGGGCCTGCAGGGCCTGATTAAGCTTGACAGCCCTGTAATAAATGAAAAACTGTCGGTCTTGAAATTCATTCCCACCTCCCTTTCCCAACTGAGACACCGTAGTTCATCATCTATAAGTCTAATTCTCCCTGTATGTTGATGTTATTAATAATGACTTGATTTATGGTGGTTTCTAAGAGCCAAATGAGAGTGAAGACTTACTGTGTCAAATATAGTAAAATGCAAAGTAGTAGTCAGTTCCCTGCCTTAGTGAGTTTATACTCTACAGCAGTGGTCAGCAGTGCTTTCTAGGGGCAGGCCAGAATGACCCAGCTCAAGTCTGTGGTGGGCTGGTGCTAGGTCCTGCCTGCTGCCACTGAACACCATCAAATCCTCCCCCCACAGCTCTGTGGGCTAGATCCAGCTCATGAGCTGTAGGCTGGCAACCCCTGATCTAAATTGTCAAAAGCAGCAGATGGTGGAGGAAAGAGGTACAGTGCTACCAGAGGAAGCACTCTTATGGCAGCAAATGTTAGCTCCATGGTTTGTTTTTGGGACTTTGCAGCTAGGAGGGGAAAAGATTAATAAAAATTCAGGGAAGTGGAATGAGAGCAACCAGGTAGTCCTTATGAAGCTGAAGTGAAGAGGGTAGGGGGAGGGAGGAGCAGGAATTGGAGCAAATGGCCAAGCAGCACAAAGCAGGAACGCTGAGTCAGAAGCATAGAAAGTTCGCAGAGGGGCTGAAGTCCCGGCTTTGGCTGCTTCTGGTGCTGCTCATGCTGGCTGGAATCCGTGGCTAGTTTCTCCCTGCAGTTTTTCCCATTCAGGCCCTTGACAGGGAGGGCATCCTCTGAGTCCTAGTGGCCAAAGAATGTGTGCCAGGGCTTGGGGGGAAGGGGCAAAGTAGGAGGTTGGATGACTTTTACATTATGCTAATTTAGATTGTTGGGATTTTTTACTGCGCATGTCTTGAGAATGGTGATAGGTAAATAACCTAATGATTGAGAGTACAATTGTTTGCAGTTAAAAAAATATTTTGTAAGAAACATTGTTATAGGCTTTTTAAAAGTATTTTGGCTATTTTACACTTTAACATGGGAAAATCTGTATTTTTTTTAATGCCTGACTTCTGGGGGAATGCTATGTTGCCTTTCTCCTTTTAAAAGAATCAAATGTCACTGCATTCAATAACTAGGAAAAAAAGATTAATATTGATAGTTCTGACCAATAGAAACTTAAAATTAAATGATTTTAATTTGCTGAAATACTCCTTTTTTCTTGGCATGTCCGAATTCATATTAACACTACTTTGCCTTTCTTTTTTAATTATTTTAATGTTGGCAGTCACTTGAGCAAACTGTCTGTCAAGATGTGGGTGGCAGGCTATTATTTCATTTCATAAATCATAATTTATGGGCGGGGGGTTATGTCCATTTTGGGGATAAACACTTTATGCTTTGTGTTTTCAGCAGCAATATAAGATGTAATTGATACTTAAAGCAGTATGTTAGAAATATGGGTATAGAAAAGTCGGGGGGAAATCACAAATGTTTAGGTGTTCTGTGGGTTGGTCTACATACTGAACATTTTTTCCATCTGATTTCATATTCTTAGCACTTCAGCAGAGGTTGATGATAGATTACATCTACATGATTGCTGCATATATGTAGGTTTTTATATGGATGTTTCTTTAGTTGCAGACACTCAACAGATCAGTAACTCAATGGGGTTGTATTGTCATATTTCCTTTGCTGTTGAGTAAACTTATCTTGTACAATTGTCTTACAGATTCATGAGAAACTGCATTACTATGAAAAACAGAACCCTGTGCCCATACTCCATAGTGCAGCAGCCTTGGCAGATGATGTAAGTGTCCCCTGCTGAGATCACTGGTACAAAGTCTCCCAAAAAACTGTCTGCAAGCAGAACTCCTCATAGTGCAAACATACAGCTGTAATCCTCTAAGTTGAAATCATAAGAAGCTGCAAATGTTTCCAAAGGTGCTGTCATCACTGGTCTCTTTGCTGATATAACTTTGATTTTTATTCACTTTCCTGTTATAAAAACATTGCATCTAGATAGCTGCTTGTTCTGCTTTGGTAACTACGTAATAAAAATTACAGTTTGGAAATCTACAGGAAGGGAAAAGCTGTCAACTATTATGTTTTAAGAAAGTCACAGACAAGAGGAATGCTTTGGAAAAATATAGACAAATGAGATGGCTATATTGCTGACAGGACAAGAAAAATGACAGATAACACTACAGAAATGAGGCTTATGAAATAACTAAAAATGAGGGGTTGTCAAAAAAAATACCTGTGCAAGAAAAAGAACAGTAGTGATTTATGGATATTAGAGCTTTCCAAATTACCTTCATAACCAAAAAATAAATTGTAGAAGTGGTCAGCATTGATGGAGTAGTTAATTTCCTGTTACTATAATTTTTACTTTAAAGAAAAAAAAAACAAGCTGCCATTCCTCGCTATTTTGGTTATTTCTAAGATTCAGTTGAATTGTGTGCACACCTGTATAAACTATGACTGAACCTGAGGTAGGGTGGATAGAGAAATGTTTAATAAACTGTGGTTTAGGTGAAATCCAGAAGTCTTTGGTGCAGTTGGTGATCTCAGTTTTTTTTCTTTTTATGGAAAAGGCAATATGTTTTAGGATTCATTTCAAATATGGCAGCATTGAACCTTGATGCATTTCATAAATATTCCTGGATATATAACTCTATTTAATTAATGCCCTCTAATTTTAAATAAGTCACCTGTTTATCTGCCATGAAACGCATGATAAATTTGGATGGCAGCATATCTTACAAAATTAAGGAATTTAGCTTACTGAAACCTGCATGAAAAAGCATAAGAGAATTTTATCATCTTCAATCAGAAGACATCTACATCCTATAATATATCAAATGTTAATAATAACCTGTGACATCAGATGTATATGTTTGCTGTAATAGTATTTAAACAAATTATTTTGAAAACTAGAAAACTGAAATGATATAGTCCTAAAGGCTAAGTACAGACAGTCAAAAAGCCTGAGACTGAATCGATTCAGTCTTCGCAGGTCAGTCTAAGCGGTATAGATTGAACCATAAGCAAGTGAACAGACATTCACTTTTGATTTCAGAAACGTAGCCACATGCCTGCACTGGCCAAGGCCAGAAGCCTGGGGGGTGCCAGAGCACACTTCCCTACTTGGTTGGAGCAGACAGCTTGGGCCAAGACTAACTTACCAGCCTGCAAGGGCCAGTTTATAGGGGAGGGGCAAAGCATCCTGGAATGCCAGGGGACTGAGAGTTGGCTTGAATTTGGAGGGCATCTGGGACAGAAGGTCAATAAACAGATGTAACCTAAATTGGTTACATCTGATACTACATGTGTCTAGGTTTATCTTAAACCAGTTTTGGCCACTTTGAAAGTGGGTTATGTAAACTGAACTTCTGGGCTAGGGACAGACATTCAAAAAGCCTGAGCCTGAATTGATTCAATCTTTTCAGGTTAGTCTAATCTGCAAATCTTGTACTGATTTGGAGGAGGATAGACATTCCCTTTTCATTCCAGAAAGGCAGGCACATGCCTGCAGTGGCTCAGGCTAGAAGCCCAGGGGCACTAGAGCAGCCCTTCCTTCCCTTCTACAGGGCTGAGCTGAGGGGGGAAGTGGCCAGGCCCTGTCAGGACACTCTTATTATTTCCCCACCCCACTCCCAGCGGCTCAGCAGGGTGTGTTTGTCACTCCTAACTCAGTGTTTTATATCAACCCATTAAGAAAACAAAGCCTCTCTCCATTTAACTAATGGAGTTCTTCTTAAACAGCTCTTCTTAAACAGCTTTTCCAAAGAAGGACATTAAGCTACCTGTTGATTAGCTCCAAAAAGCCTATCTGCCTTTGTTGTCTCCCACAGCATGGACCCATAGCCAGCATGTGGTCTGCCAGCTAATGCTGAGGTTTCTGCGTAAGGCAGAGGGGCAGGGGAAATAATCCCTGCTTAGCAGGGAGAAGCCAGGCAGATATTGCTGTGCCTGAAAATCACTGCTGGAGCTGCAACCAGGGTGCAGAGGGGAGGGGCCAGCTCTGCCGTGGAGCAGAGAGCTCTGCCCAGCCCAGCCCAAAGAGCATGCTGGGATGCAGGGGGAGTCTGGTTTATCTTAAACCAGCAAGGGGTTTGGGACAGACGTTGCATAAACCGGTTTGAGCCAAATCAGTTAAGTTTGATACTACATTCAACCAGGTTTATCTCAAACCGGTTTCAGCCATTTTCAAACTGGTTTATGAGCACTGAACATCTGTTCTGTTACAGATTTAAACCAGTTTCTGATCACTTAAACCGGTTTATGTGTAATGTCTGAACTTAGCCCTGTTGTGTTACAGATTTGAAGCAGTTTCTGACCATTCACACTGGTTTATGTGTAATTTCTGTCCCTAGCCAAAATGCTATTTTTAAGGTCTTGGTCATATATATCCATTTATAAGATTATTGTGAATTTTTTAGGCTAAAATTAAAAAAAAAAACAAAATCAGTGCCTTTGGATTCAAAATGTAAGAAGCAGAAATGTGCCAGAAGTATTGAATCCTCTGAATAACAGACTTCTTAAAAATATCTCTGGTTGCCCTCCCAGAAAGTGATTTTTGAATTCTAAAAATTTAGAACATTGGTTTTTTTCATTACATATTTAATGTGGCAAAAAGAGAAATTAATGGCCTATGTCTAAAAAGTGTATGATTAAAGGAAGTGAATTTCTGTGCATTTTTGCATGCCCACAATTAAGGGTTTATTCTTAATCACTAATGTGGTTATTCCTTAAGAATCCTAACAAATATATTTTATTAGTATAATTTTAAATGGGCATAATGCTTTGGAGTGTGGAGAATAATTTGATATTATTTGAATTCAAGCTAAACACTTTGCAAGTTTGTGTGTGAATGCATTAGCAGTAAACTAATTTGTATACAATATAAATGTGTTATAAAACATGGAACTTGAGATTAGAACTACATTAAATATCTGGCACTCCTGTTGACAACTAATCACCCTTCAAGGATGCAGAGCATATTAATAATGTAACAGTTACTTTGTTTCAGTAGATTTTGAATTAATGGTGTTTATATAGTTGAGTAAGCATGGGAGCATTCTTATTAGAAATGCCATATTTTTATGTGATTTAAAACCAAAATACAGAGTAATCAGAATTACAAACTGTTTCAGGGGGCATGGTTTTACTATTATGTTTGGTATTAATGTTTTAGGGAACAGTTATAAAGGCAGTAATTTTAACTAGGCTGCTATTCTGATTTTGTTCACATTCATTCCAGTGCAAACTGAAGTTGTGTACAAGAGGTGCATCCACTCTTTATTGCAGAGCAGAGGTGTTCGAGAATACACTATCAGATCAAAAGGCCATAAATCAAATTCACAAGCATAGTCCTTATGAAGGCTTTTGAATCAGTGCTGTGCTGTGGTAAAGGGCTTTCAATACTTTCTCCAGAAAACCCCATGCTCCCTAGATCCTTGTGTTGCTTCTCTATCCAGCCTTCTGTTCAAGTGTGATCTCTCCTCTTTCAGTGTCCCTAGCAATAATTTTGCTTCTCTCTTCTGCCCCTCCCCCCCCTTTTGTAGTGGCTACACTTTTTATAAATGTGTAAGTGAGAAACATTAGTGTCCTTAAGGGGAACATTTCAAAAGCGATTTTTAAACACTCATGCTCCTGCAGTCCTTAGCATGTTAAGGTAGTAGTCATGACAAAAACACATACCCAACATTTTCACTGTAGATCACACCTGAAATAACTCCAGGGCTATATAGAAATACTTTACATTTAGAAACACAAAATAACCTGAAACTGACAGAAATGTTACAAGCAGCTCTGGTGCCTGCCATATACAAATTGGCGCACAGACTTCTCAGTCCCTGTTTCCAGATAGGTGACATAGGAGGCCCCTCCCCTCTGCTCCCTGGCTGGAACTCTGGCAGAGACTGCAGGTACAGCAAGGTCTGCCTGGCTTCCTCCTACCCTGTCCCCTCTCCTCCACACCTTGCTGCTTGCTGGACAAGCAAGGATCCCCCACCTTCCTCCCTCCCATCTCCCACAGACCCTAGGTATGTAGTATGCTAGCTAATGCTGAAAGGTGTCTGTGTATGAGTGTCTCCAATTTCACTGGTACAGGCAAGCAGAATATTGACTGCTTTAGGGCTTTTTGGAGCTAATCAACAGGTCATCTGTTAAGCTGTTTAAGAAGAGTTTGAATTAATGGAGAGAGGCTATTGTTTTGCTGATGAGGTGATAAACACTGTTATCAGCCCCCTGCTGGCTTGCTCCCCTGTCAGTTTGCTGCAGACAGTATAAAGAAGTAGGGAGAGGAAGATTGAAAAGCTCCATATCATCAACAGATGCATGCACTGAACACCCTTCCTTGCTTCAGAGTGCTGCCTTGGGGGCTGGCAACACTCCAGCCCCTTCGGCAGCCAGTGGGGAAAAGCCGGGGATGGTGCAGGCAGGGTGGAGGTTTACACCCCTCCCTAATCAGAGCATCCTGCCAGGGCCTGGCCATGCCCCCACCTCAGCTCAGAACTGTGCAAGTAAAGGGAGGGCTGCTGTAGTGCCCTCAAGCTTCTAGCCTGAGCCACTGCAGGCATGTAACCTGAATTTCCTCAGTCCAGAGAGAATGTCTGTCCAGTTACAAACCGGTTCAGCCTAGCCAGGTTAAACTAACCTGCAAAGTTTGAATTAATTCAGGCTAAGGCTTTTTTAATGTCTATCCCTAGCCTAAAAGTACTTCTTTTTTTTCCCCCTTGTGATTTGTCTGCTTGCTCCTCACTATTGAAAGCAAGTGTTGTAAAGCCTCTGTATTTCCAGCTGAGTACATATCCACCAAAACAGGTGCTCTGCTATAGTTAATAATAATTTTTACATACCATTTGGTTGAAAACTGCAATCTTACTTTAAATTAAAGACTATACCTTTGTTAGGAAAGCTGCCATAGATAAATTTAATTAGTTGTAATGAGCAAGATGAGCCAAGGGAAGTAGAGAGCTCAAAGGGAACCTGTAGTGCTTAACCATTTCAAAAACCATTGGGAGCCAGTACTATCCTAAACTATCTTGAGGTTTTAAAGCTAACTAGACTAGACCTGGTTGTTTGCTTGCGTGCTAGGTTTCATGCACATAAAGCACTTAGCTCTGCCTCTCTCCCTTGATTTATTTTTGTAATGTATAGTATATATGAATATTGCTGAGGTGTATTTTCCTGCCTCTTATGAACACATTTTGTCTGTTGTTTGTCTGTTAGTATTAAATGTTTATTGTAATGAATATGTAGTTTAGTCGTCCTGAATATGTGGCTGAGTTGTAAGAGTCGTATAGAAAAAGTGTTCCCTTCACTAGAATTTTTATTTTTAATGTTTATGTTTTTATAATTGTATTTATGAAACATGTTTTGTTAGTTCTATTGTAGAAGCTGCTTTTGAAAATCATTTAGTTAAATTACTTATATAAACTAAAAGTAACTTAAAATGAAGTTAGGTGAATAAAATTACTCCTAGCACATCAACCTTCTTGGAGACTTTTTAATAATATTAATGTAATACTAAAATGTGATTTTATTAAATCAGATTGCGTACTATGCAAGTTCATGATTCTTTTTTTGTCATCCTCAGCGTTCCCTCTAAGCTGTGAGGTGTGTGCAGGCGTGCCTGGCAGTGCAGCATGAATGTGCCTGCGCGGCTGTGCATGCCTTACAGGTTAGAGGGAATGCTGGTTGTCCGTCCCCTGCCCCCTCAACAAGAGTTGAAGTTTTTAACCCCTATAGCAGAAAATTTGTCTCCTGAGTTCAAACTAGTTAAAAGATTAGTGATAAGAGAAGCTCATGCGTGAGACATGCAGCTCTGGCATTAAATGTTAGACTGCTGCTCTATTGTTGACTAACTCACAATTTTGTAGCACAACCAACCATAAATTGCTGATCTTGTTGGTAGGGCATAGTCTGTGCATTTTAGTGACTTGAATAGCTGGTGGGTGACCTGTTGTAGACCATATCATGATTAACATGCTTTAGATTTAACAAGCTGCTTCCCATTTATGAGTAAACATAATAAAAGGTTTAGATTGCTTGCACTGTAGGGCACTCAGCTTCCCTACCCCAGTCCTAAACAGCACAGCTACTGTGGGTTTTTGGAAGCAGTGTGGATTTCACCACCTCGTTCAGAAGCTGTTTTTTATAGACAGTGTCAAAGTTTGATCCAGTCATTTTTACAAGCAGTCCTTTGTCTGCATGCAAAGGACCATTCACTTAAATGAAGTGCTGGGATTTGCCCTTTTTGCTATAAATCAGAATGTGATCTGGCTGCACTGTTGCCAGATATGATTACTTGAGTTAAACTGAGCCGAAAGGCCTGTCTTAAATCTGGTCAACTGAGGGCCAGAAAAGAAGCTCAGTGATTGATAGTCTGTTTTTTTTCATGCTGGCTTCTGTTTGAATACACTGGAAAGTAATAACCTTGAACAAGATAGATTCTCAGTTGTCACTGATGCGTTGGGTAAAACAATGCTCTTGCTAATGTTCTTTGTATCAATTCAATCTCTCTCACAGCTGGCTGAGGAGCTACAGAGCAAACCATTGAGCAGTGAGATCAGAGAGCTGTTGAAACTGCTGTCAAAACCCAACCTCAAGGTGGGGAAGTGTTACACCTGCAAAGTACACACAAACATACACACTTTTTCTCTCTTCCCTCCTTCTCCCCCTTTCTAAGGAATTTGTCTGATTCAAGTTATTTACATATATGAATATTTCTATGCAAGAACACAATGTTAATAGTAAAAATATGCTACAGAGAGAGGCAATTAATAATGTTTATGAAATTCACAAAACATTTACAAATTTATTATAATGTTAATGAAATTTGCAAAGATACTTCAGGAGAGAGGATTTGATTACTTGCAATTGGCTATTCCAAAAAAAAAAGCTGTAGTATGAAAATTAAACCCCAAATATCTTTTTCTTTAAATGTCTTCAGTAAAGTGGTAAAAACATTAACATTATAGCTGTGACTAAACTGTAAGTTGTTTTTTGATTCATGGTGATTATAGATAACATAATTTAAAATTAAAATAGTGAACATGCATAAATAGGGCTTTATGTATTGGGAAATGAACTTAGTATAATTTTTCAAATGCCCCAAAATCAGCATTTCATCTTACAAAAACCCATAAGATTCCATAGAAAGTCCTGTGAGGATTCACCTGTGTTTAACTGACAATGTGCTATGGTGAAACTAAGTATGCACCTTCAACTTGTTCTCTCCTCCCACCATGTGATGAGAGAGTGCATCATACATGCATGTTCCCACATCTGAATTAATTAACAGCTGTTAGTTAATACTAACTTTGGTGTGGAGGAGTAAAAGTTGCTGTTTTTAGCCAGGTTGTCTCTTTAAAATCCTTGTTACGTGAAATATTCCGCTGGCACCTTTTATTGCTAGCAATAAACCTTCTTTGTACTTTCACCCCTGGTATCTTTATTGGCCTTTGCATACCGGGCACGATCCCAGACTTGAGCTGGGGCTCAACAATGACTCCACAACTGAGATGCCCTAGTATCTGTAAACTGTTCCAAGACTGAAGACAGAGCATTATGGGCTCACTGTTCATATAATTTTTGTTCTACACCTCATCATTACATGGTGACAACCTGCTTTCCTCAGAGGTGATAAGCAGTAAGTAGGCTTTAATGGTATATTTTGCTCAATTTGACTATTCAAAAAATGCTGGCACATCTTAAGACCAAAAACTCTTAAGCTTTACTAAGTATTATATATATATTATATATATATATATATATATAGTAGATCATATGTAATTTACAACATTGAAGCATTGATGAAATGAGTCTAATAACTGTTCACTGGTCCTGATTTTATCTGTTTTAAGAGGCAACATCATCTTTCAAAAAGAGTTATATTGATGTAATACATCAGTACTGCTTTTATGCCTAGATCATGCATAGATGTTTCATTAGTTTTCTGCTTTTTCTAAGCTTTAGTTTGGAGGCAGTATCAAACTGATAACCTACATACATGATTAGCCAATAGCAGGGGACAAAATCATTCTGGTTTTAGTGTAGTGTATTATGGCTGTTTATTCTTTCCATGACTTTATCATTTTCCTTGAAAAGGTACCAGTCCTTGGCTGGAAACAAGTGTTTTTGGTGCTGTTTTTTAATGGGACCAACTGCACAGTGGGGAAGATGTTAGGCAAGCTTTTGAACTAATGGCATGTTATGTTCAACTTCCCATGCAGAAAATGCTGGCATGTTTTAGTCCACAGACCCGAAGTTTTACTATGGTAGATCATACATGTTTTACAACATCAAAGTTTTAATTAAATGAGTCTAATAGCTGCCCACTGATATTGTTTTTAAGGCATTTATATTGACTTTCATAAAGAGTTGTAATAGTATAGTGCATTTTATCAGACCTGAAGAAGGACACTTTGTCTCTAAAAGCTTGTCTAATATCTTTCCCAACTATGCGGTTGGTCCAATAAAATACTGAAACCCTAGCTTCTCTCATATTTCTTGGACCATCATGGTTACAACAGTATTCCAACCCTAATACAGTCTTTGACTTGGGCATTTAGGAACTGCTTTAGTAAAATATTCTTTTGCATTCAGTGGTCTTCCTTCAACAGTTACTTTTTTCCTTTTGTAAATGGAGACTTAACTGTTTTAAGCTAGTCAAAGATCTTTTCTTGCTGTGGAAGAAAGGAATGGCTGGGTAAAGGGCAGTAGCCCAGTTGGTTGACCCTGAATAAGATGGATGCATCACTTTCTACCAGGTTGGGCTTCCTGAAACCTGGTTCTGGACATAAGAGGAGGGGAGGGACTGTGTGTCTGATACTCTTGCCCAAGCCCCGCAACCCTAAGTGGAAGTGGATGGCCAGGGGTGTGGAGAACCATAGCTTCTCTCTACAACACATTGACTAAGAAAGTATCTGACAAATAGTAATGACTTGTGCTGATTACTTCATTCCAGGGCAAAGGGGAAAGAATAAAGACTCAGTCTTGCCCTTCCATATTAGTACATGAGATGAATTAATACGGACCCCTGAAGCTGAGGAGAGGGCAGGCATTCTCTTTCCTTGCCTCTGGACATTTGGGGTAAACTGTTCTATAGAACAGCATTCTCACGGAGCTAGCTAAAAGCCATTTAAGTAACTGGGGTTTTTTTCCTCCCACTGTTGCAGTACCCTTTTTACTTTTAAAATTTATGCAAGAGTTGTCTCGTGGTAAATGGGCATTATTGTTCTGCTGAGATCTTTCTCTCCTCACCAACTTTGTAACTGTAACTTTTAGGTGGAGCCACCAGGAGTATTTCCTGCCTTTCTCAAGCCAGAATGTAAGCCCTGAACTGTCAGGCTGAATGCAAAATGTACTTTTAAAATTGTGTTTCTGCAGGCCTGTCTGAGGAGGAGAGCAGACCTGGGAAAGTGGCTTTGGAAGGCTAGTCAGGATTAGTTAACAAGATATAAGTGTAGAAGTGTTCAGTAACTGAATTATTCAGATGAACATAGTATATTATGAACTTAAATTTTATTTTAAAAGATGCATGAGTCTCTGTTTACTTCTAACTCCCACAGATCATAAAGATCACTATATTTGTTTCTGTTGGTTTTTAAAACTTTGACAAATTCATGGTGTTCAGTGTTGTTTTTTTCCCCAACCATAAAGAAAGAGGTTTTAGTTTGCTGCACCCCGTCATTTAAGGCACATTACGCTGCTGAATTTATAGAGGCTGGAATTAATGTGCAATACACCGCCGAGGCATGCAAACACCAAAACCATTGAAGTGGTGCAAAAGCATTAAAAATGTTGTACACACACACACCCCTTGTTTCATCTACACACGGCCTATCTCTCCTGATCAAAACAGACCTTGGAGCACACCAGCATATTTAGCTCCAGGACGAAATCACGTGGGTTTGTTCCTCTTTGTGTAGGATATTATGGAATGGATTAGAGCCAAGCATAATAGTTTGAAGGAAGACCATGTGCTTGCTTGGTGATACAGGTTTAAAGCTCAACTGCAGAACCAACCATGTGAACGTGGCTCACACACATTGAATATCACAAATGAAAGTAACTAGTGACTTATGGTCTAAATGTGTAATTTTATAAATGTCTTTAACTTATAAAAATATTCTGTTATACTTTAGAACTTATTTTTAATTTCTTAGCTTGTTTACTGCATCATTTCAGTGGAGACAGATACTTTCTCAGTCAACCTCAGCAAACATCTAATGTTGAAGTATATATTAAGGTGTGATGATGTTATGAAAACTATACAGGAAACCTGTCCAATTTCTGTAACTATGTTGTAAAAATAATGAAGACTTCTAAAGTAAAATTTAACTGCCTTTGCTAAACAGAGAGAACTTACATCAGTGATATGTTATTTTGGGTTTATTTCCACATGTTAACTAGCAAAAATCAGACATTTCAATAGATTTGCCAGTCATTAGAGAAAATTAGAAGCGACTCATTAGATTCATATAGAATTTTTAAACTGATAAACTAGATGGATATCTTTGTAGACAAACTACTTTAGCTCACTCTGCAAAATATTGTTTTAAAGGTGTTTTTTTTTAACGGTAATAGTTTTGTTTTTAGTTTGATACCTGAATGTCCTGTTAATAATCACCATCAGCTAGGATTGCTTACCACTTTGAGTTAGTCTCTTGGAAAAGGATGTTGGTTATGATCAAATTAGAATGGGATTTGAAGGGTTTGCTTTTCCTTTGTTTACTTGTGTAGAAAATGTAACCTTATTTGCTGTACTACTATAAAAAACACATGCAAATGGACTACCATATGTGATGAGCTGCAGTAGTGAGATATGAGGATTACCTTAAACGTAATGAAAGCACTCCGAGATTTATTTCCGTTCATGTATATATTGCATTATAAAGTGAACTAAGTTTGCTGAAGTCTTGCTGCTTTTGCTTTGTTATAATGTTAGTAGCCAGTCCTGGAATTCTTGTACTCCAGGATGAAAAGGCATCATGGGAAGCATGGTATTGGATACCCAGCACCCTTTAAGGTCTTGGGGCATGGATGTCCAGATTCCTGCTTCCTGATCCTGACCTCCTGTACCAGCAGATGTGCAATAAGGACTTGATGAATTTTATCAGGGATTCCAAAATTGTTATGTCCTATCATGCACATCTGGCATGGCAGATGTATGGTAATGTTAATGTAAGAGTAATGATGTAGCCATGATGGTCCAGAAATTATGTAAGGTGAGGATTTCTTAGGGTGATATCTTTTATTGGACCAACTATGTGACTGAGAGAAAGTCGGACACGTTTTTGAATGGAAGACATTCTTCCTTGGGGCTCTCAGACTACATAGTTGGTCCAATAAAAGATATCACCCTAAGAAATCCTTGCCTCTCTCCTGGCAGATTTATGTGAGATTCCTCTACCTCCTATCTTTTTTCAAAACAACTAGAAAGAAGCACTAATCTAATGGGTTTTGAAAGGCTTATTTAACATGCATTGTATTATTATATTTTTAACATCCAGCACACACTTTTCCCCAAAAGTTGCTGCTGGAAATTGCTATGAGCACTAATATGAGAGTAATACAGTAAGACAGTTTCTGCCTGTTATGTGCAA